ATATATATATATTATCTACCTATCTACCTACCTACCTACTCTCTACCTACCTACCTACCTACTCTCTCTCTACCTACCTACTGTATTTCTCTCTCTCTATTTCTCTCTCTCTATATATATATATTATCTACCTATCTACCTACCTACCTTCTCTCTACCTACCTACCTACCTACTCTCTCTCTACCTACCTACTGTATTTCTCTCTCTTTCTCTCCCTCTCTATCCCTTTATCTCCCTACCTACTTTTTTTTTTAAATTGCCTCTTCAAAACCTTGGTGTGTCTTATACTCCAGTGCGTCTTATACTCCAAAAAATATGGTAGATATTTTGAGCAGGCCTTTTTTTAGAGCACTACAATTTTAACCATGACCATGGGCCATGTTAGATTGTTAAGAACTAACAATGTGGATGAAAAAGCATACCTGAAACAACCTAGAGAACACATGAAATGTATAGACAGCGGAAGATCCATCTGTATCTGTCAGCAGCTGATTAACATGGCAGCGCCAAGCCTCCTCTTCATCATCATAAGCCTGTGGTTGAAAAGCTGCCAATATGGCAGAGAGAAAAGGGGAGGGTGGGGGGGAGGTCTGCACTTCTGGAAAACCATCTTGTTCTTCATCTTGGCTGCAAATAAATAGCAACAGCACTTAGACTTATATACTGCTTCATAGTGCTTTTTAAAGCCCTCTCTAAGCGGTTTACAGAGTCAGCATCTTTGCTCTCCTGACAATCTGGGTCCTCATTTTACCGACCTCGGAAGGATGAAAGGCGGAGTCAATCTTGAGCCTGCTGAGATTTGAACTGCTGAACTGCAGCTAGCAGTCAGCTGAAGTAGCCTGCAGTACTGCACTCTAACTACTGCGCCACCTTGGCTCTTGTACAAAGAGGATGATACAGGTAGCCCTTGACTCACAACACTTCATTTAGTGACTGTTCGAAGTGACTATGGCACTACAAAAAGTGACTTATGACTGTTTTATACACTTACGACCACTGTAGCGTTCCCATGGTTATGTGATTTTACATTCGGATGCTTGACAACTGGTTCAGTGACCCGGCGTCATGTGATCCCCTTTTGCGGCCTTCTGGGAAGCAACAAGTCAATGGGGAATCCAGATTCACTTAACAACCGTGTCACTAATATAACAACTGTGGTGATTCCCTTAACAACTGTGGCAAGAAAAATCTTAAAATGGGGCAAACCTTACTTAACAAATTTCTCACTTAGCAACATAAATTGGGGTTGTAAGTCGAGGACTACCTGTATTATCTTTCTAAGTCAGTAGTAATAAGTAATAAATCACTGGTGGGTTGCAAGCGGTACGCCCCGGTACGGACGTACTAGAACCTGCCCGCAGCACCGGATACCATTCCAGTACGGTGCTCCGGAGGGCCCACCCGTCTGCCCGAGCTGCTTGCGTGTGCACACGGGCTGTATGCGTCCATGTGGATGCCGCCGGCCCGTTCCAACCATACCGGTTGGAACGGTATCTGGAACCCACCACTGTAATACATATATTTTATTGAGAGAACATGACTGCATTAACATGTCACATTTCAGGACAATTTGGGGATTATTGAGGTAGATGGATGCATCCATTATGACTTATTCAACAAGCCAGGACTAAAAATCTTGAGATTAGTTTAATATGTGATCTTTCTCTTGTATAATGGTTTGTAAACTGGGTTAATTATTCCAATGGATAATTTGGGCATACACTGTGAGTAAAGGAGCAATTTGGGATTGCTTGCCTATGAATTGAGGATCCGGTTTGGGACTGTAACTGCTGAAAAATGTGTCTGGTTTTTTTGGAGGTGGGTGGGCACTGACAGTATTCAAAACTGGGGAAAGGGGGAATTGTATCAAACAATTTCATTATTCCTGCACTAGCATGTTAGTGGCTTCAAATGCTAAATAGCAGTGGTAGGATTCTTTTTTTTTACTACTGGTTCTGTGGAAGTGGCTTGGTGGGCTTGGCATGGTTTGGTGGGCATGGCAGGGGAAGGATACTGTAAAATCTCCATTCCCTCCCCACTCCAGGGGAAGGTTACTGCAAAATCCCCATTTCCTNCTCTCTCTGCAAATGAACATTATAGAGAAGTCTTGCTATTGGGCCTCTTTCCCAAGACTATGAAGACAATTGGATTATGTTACAAAATGTCTGTTATATTCTGTCTAAATCTTGTACCCTTTGTGTGTCTCCTGTACAGTTCTCAGAGCCAGCATGTTCAATGATCTAGGGTAAATATATTTACAGAGGTTGAAAGTTGACCAGATGAAAACAAGAAGGTAAATTGAAAGAGATTCTCTCTCTTTGAGAGACATGAGTGGTTAAGAAATATGAAATATTAATACATTAGACTTAATATTTCCTTATCCCTCTGATTAGAAACAATTTAAATAATCCTAAGTAAAATAAGGACTACAGTGTAAATTATGCAAAATAAAAGAATGTATACAAAGCTGCTTAATTTGTACAATTAAATGTGCTGAATTTAGTTAATCTGCATAGATTAGTTGGTATCTTTTAACACAGAGCAGCCAAACTAAAAGTCAGAACGAAAAACAGAGAGGCAGTTGTGATTTCATTTTAAGCATAAAAAGGGGACAACTGGTAATTACATTGGAACAAAACACTCAGGGCAATAATCACGTGAACACAATCATCTTCTTACTGGATGTGTAGGCCATGGCTTTCCCCAGGCAGTTCTGATTAGTTGCATTTTCCTCTTTCTTTCTTAGTGCCTCCCCAAACACCACACTGAATTCCAATTCTTGATGCACCTTTTATGGAAATCTGAGAAGCGGCAATGCACAATAACAGAATGCCAGAGACCTTTGCTGAACACCATTGATCGCCACCAATCCATGGCTAATGAACCTTGTAAGCCAATGCTTCATGTGTCATCTTGCATTTCATTACAGTCTGTCACTTGTTTCCCCGGGTTATAAGCAATTTCAGACAGAATCTGCCAATCCCCACCCGTATCCCGGGATCCAGACTCAGCTGGGAAAGAAGCATGACTACAAACCAACCTGACAAAACACCAGCACATGTTCTGGGAAAGAGGCCTGATCGTTCCTCTCGGAGTTAAGTGCACTATTCTTTTCTTCATTCTTGTGCACTGTGTTCTCATCTCCCTCAATAATCATCCACTTTTGTGTTTTAAAAAGACAGCTGCTGCTATTTTAAGGATGCACTCAATTTTGTCACATTTGTCACAGAGGCGCGCCATGAAGGGTTTCAATTGTTTTGTTGCATACTCAGCTAACTCTAACTCTAATTTTTGATAGGCAAAAAATAAAGGGTGTGTGTGTGTGTGAGAGAGAGAAAGTGTTTCATTTTTAAAATCACTCCTTTTATGGTGTTCAGAAAGCAAAACCTTTACCGGATTGCATTGCTACTCTATTCCTGTACAGTTTGCCGTGCTGATGAATAAGAATCAATTGCTTAAATACCGAGTCTATTAAAAACTCGCTCAGAAAGGACGCTGTTGGCAAGCTGTATGAGGAACATTTTAAGTAGATGTCGTTTCTATCTGGTGATCATACTTCTATCTTATTACCCAGGATTTCTTTTAAGAAGCCGGTGGGGCCTTGTAGCTATAGAAAGGAATCTACTATGTATGAAATGCTACAAAAAAAGATGCAGCAATATCACAGTTCAAACAGCAGACAGTCTTCGGCACCGAGGTAGGGCTTCATCCTTCCATGCTGTGCATGCTCAAAGACAGAGGCAGGCTTTGAATCCAAAAGTCCCTAGAGTCAGTAAGTAAGGTTATCAAGTAAGTTGAAGGGCTAAGCATTTCTAATCCTAGAAGGTTGCTGCCAATATGAGAACATTGATGTCAGTGGATTGAGGTTATCACTCTATAGGACGCAAGACCTATTTAAAACTGGCCCAGGATAAACCTTTTAACATAGTTACACCTGTCAAGCAAGTGCTGAGTGTTAATAATACTTTTTGACCTAATGACGCTCAGGGAGTTTGAAAGAGCTGTATTTGTTAGACATCTTTGCAATTGACTCATAAAAGTTTATCTTCTTGGCCCTGCTTGTGTTCCTTCAGGTCTTTCCCTTGCACCCCCGCTGAACATTCCCAGAAAGGTTAAAAACAGGGGAAAATATTAAAACCCCACCAAATTGCGGTTCCTCCAGGAGAAAAGACTAAAATCCAAGAGTCAAGACATTTGGGAGCAACTATCTTGGATTGCAATTTTGTTTACATTTGCCTGATGCCAATTCTAAGTACAGTTGGGTTGTAACTCTGACTGCCATTGTTTAACATGACAATAACTCTATTGCAGGGGTGTCAAACTGGCGGCCTGCGTGGCGGATGCGTCACCTGCAAGCCACACCCACCAGCTCCGCGGAGGGGGGAAATGTTGCAATATGCGTCACCTGCAAGCCATGCCCACCCCACCTTCGTGGAGGGGGAAAACCACGAGTTTTACACCCATGCTCTGTAGGAATCACAAATTCCATACAAATTCCATTCCACCCATTTGTAGGCCAGGGGTCAGCAACCCATGGCTCTGGAGCCACATGTGGCTCTTTCATCCCTCCGCTGCAGCTCCCTTTCGCTGGTTGCCTACACAATTGATAGGGCTTTTGGTTAGGACAGGTAGAGGAAAAAGAATGCCATGCTAGGAGGAGACTCTATGGTGGGGGAACCAGACTTCTGGTCCACAGAGGAAAAAGGACACCATGCTAGGAGGAGATTATGGTGAGGGAAGCAAACTTCTGGTCGGCTCCAAAATTGAATGGAGGGCTTCCATTTAGGATCTTTGTGGCTCTTTGAGTGTTTAAGGTTGCCGGCCTCTGCTGTAGGCTGTAAAATATTCCAACTCAGGTTGACATGACTGCCTCTACTTGAAGGAAGCACTTTATTGCTGCTTAAGGGGAGCAGATGCAAACCTTCTCTCCAGAGCTCGAAGTCTTAGTTTGCATATCCCCAACTGAGACTGTGATTTAAGACCTACTGGCTGAACATTAGTCAAGTTCTCAAAGAGGGCGATTCTCTTTCAACCTACCTTCTTGCTTTCAATCTGGTGCCTTCAAAATATATTTGCCCTAGATCATTGAACATGCTGGCTCTGAGAACTGTACAGGAGATACATAAAGGGTGCAAGGTTTATAAAGGTTATAACAGACATTTTGCAACATATTCCAATTGTTTTCATAGTCTTGGGGAAGATGTCCAATAGCAAGATTCCTCCATAATGTTCAGTCACAAAAAATGTCTGAATGTGTGTGTGTTTGTCCCAGAATAAAAGTCCTTTAATAACCATTCCATGGGCTTTTTGTTGGGATAAAAGTATGCAATTAGGGCAAAAGAAGAAGGGGACGACAGAGAACGAGGTGGCTAGATGGAGTCACCAAAGCAGTAGGCGTGAGCTTAAAGGGACTCCAGAGGATGGTAGAGGACAGAAAAGCCTGGAGGAACATTGTCCATGGGGTCGCAATGGGTCGGACATGACTTCGCAACTAACAACAACAAAAAACTATGCAGACATAGCCCGCAGTGGCACGTCTGAGGCTGTCGGCTAACAAGTGCTCAAAAACTTATTTCAAATGCAGTGAAACAAAGCTCATTTGCAATCACAATCATGCAAACTGCAAGCTGTACTGGCAGGGTATTTGCTTTTAGTGTCAGAGCCAGAGGAGCTTGGGCCGGGCTGATTTCAGGCACTGAGAGCATAATTACCCTGTACATGTAGTGCTAGCAAAGACAATTTTAGTTACTTAGGGAAAAGTAACCTAGGAATCTAATGAATAAGCAAGCAACCAGTTGTGCCACAGTCGGGAACCTGAGTATTTTAGACAAATGAATGGGGGAATGAGGCTTATGCCCGAGAGTCAAAGGGGGAGGGTGCTCAGTTCTATGGCATTTTATCTCTCTTAACAATGAAGGCACCAGTAAATAACGCACAAGGAGCAAGCTTGAGGCATCTGCTTTCCAGGCTTCCCAGACGCATACTGTGCAATTGTGTTCCAACACGAATGCCATTCTATTGAGGGTGCCCAGAAAGGAAGCACAGATATTACCACCAATATTGGCAAGGGCAACATTAATTAAGTAAGATATAATTGGTTGAAAAAGCAATAGTTTTGCAAATCACAATGGCTGATTTCCCACAAAAACATAAAACCCAAGTGAAGCAAATCACAAGGAAATTACATGTTGTAATGGCTCATGAGGTCCATAACCGTCAAAAATATTTCCAGATATGGGGATGTGGCAGTGTTAGCAGTGATGGCATGATAGCAGTGTTCCAGTATTAGAGGGGCTGCCACAAAGAAGAGTGACTTAACCTATTTTACAAAGCCCCAGATGGCAAGCAACGGTTGGAAACTAATCAAAGAGAGAGCAACCTAGAACTAGAAATTTCCCAACAGTGAGAACCATAAACCAGTGAAATGGCTTGCTTTCAGAATATTTGGGTCACATCATTGGAGGCTTTTAAGAAGAGACTGGACAACCATTTGTCTGAAATTGCATAGGACAATGGTGGGATTCAGCCAGTTCGGAAGAACTGGTTGTTAATTTTCTAAGCAGTTCGGAGAACCAGTTGTTGGAAGAAATCTCATTTTGTTTTTTCCCACTTTACAGGGCTAATCCTACAAAGAATGCAGGAAGGAAACATTCTGGTGCTGTTTCTAGTCTAATCTTTATTGCCCTGCTTACAGAAACTACCTCTCCAGTTAACCCTTATTACATTGTAACAGCTAAGGCGAAGTGCCCATTGACGTGAGTGATGTTAAGTTGGCCACGCCCACTCAGTCACATGACCACCGAGCCCCAGCTACCCAGCTAATCCTTAGGGAAGAGAACCAGTTGTTAAATTATTTGAATCCAACCACTGGTATAGGATCCCCTCTATACATTTCTGTTTGAGAGTATAGGTGTTGAAAAAAAGTGAAGAGGTGGCCACTACAGCGTGATTGAAAGTTCCCCCCGTTTTTATGTGCATCACATGTGCACATAAAAAAAACATCTGGAATCTCCATCCCTCTATCTTGACTTTTTGATTCGTACCCCGCAGACACCCCCAGGTATGTCTATGTGTAGCTTTTAAATGTATAAATGTTTCTGCGTTATTTATTACATACATTGTTTATATATGCTTTTTAATATGTCCCTGTCCTCTTTAGGAGGCTGTCTCGTGTCTCTCAGAAATGTGTCTAGTACCTGACTTACCCAAAATTGCCCTGTTCCGAATCCCCAGATCACCAGAGTGGGGCTGCAGTCTGTTCATAATAAGACTAATCTTGTCAAGAGAACTGTTGGAGATGCTTTAGGAAAGAACAATGGGGTTGATGTGCTTAATATCCCTTCAGTGTATTTATCACCATTCTTATTCTGAGAGACAAAGAGTCTGCAGGCCTCTCGGTATGCAAGCACCACAACCCACAAATCAGCAGTAGCAGCCCTCTTTGTTATGCCTCTCTCCTTTGAGTTAATTTCTTAGTGAGGCAGCTTGATAAGACCTGACCTGCAATAACCAAGTCGCTTAATAAAGATTTGCTTTGATGCACACATTGTTCAAGGTTTCTATTAACAAGGACAGGGAAAGTTCCCCTCTGCTAGATGTAATCACTAGCGTGCTCAGGCACAATGAGCAGTGTGTGTCTCATCCCAGGCAGCCCCCACTCTTTATCCGCGGGGTTTTGGACAGAACTGAACCACCCACACACACACACATTTGCCTAAGTCAGAATCTCATTAATATTAATGCCAGCCACAGGCCCATTTAAAGGCAATCAAGCCAAGAGAAATGCCATGGCTCAAAGCCTGTGAAGCATCATCTTGACCTTTTAAATGAGTGTGCAGAGCAACAGTTGTTAAAAAACAGTCAGCAATTGCTGTGTCAACAGAGAGCTTAAAACAGGCATGTAATTTCATCTTCCAAGAAACAAGGCAAGCTCCCAGAGACTGAAGGAGTAATTGTGTGAGCTGGTAATTTCTCTAAGTACAGCCACATTTATGAAATTCTCTTCCATTCATGCCTCTCTCTCCCTGGCTTCCTTGCAATAAGAACCTGTCACATTGATTGGATAATAGGTAAGTTTGAAATAAGCCAACTATCAAAGCAGCAACTATCTCGCTACCCCCATAGACCGGTTGCTGCAGGAAACAAGCTAGCTCTGTG